AACTCCCAGTCTCCTGGTGATTGATCCAAAGTCACCCAGTTGACTTTCACGCCTAAGGCAGGACTGTAACTCACCATCTTCTGATGACTGGCCCAACGTCACCCAGTTGGCTTTCATGGCTAAGGCAGGACTGTAACTCACCATCTTCTGATGATTGGCCCAACACGACCCAGTTGGCTTTCATGGCTAAATCAGCATTAGAACTCCCAGACTCCCACTTTCTAGCCTGGTGCTGTAACCATTAGAGCAAACTGGCTTCTTATATGGTCCAATAAAAACAATACTCCAACCCAGTAGATGGTGATGTAGTTCTAACTTTTATTGGACTACGTACTGTAATAAGTCACTGAATTTCAGCCAGCCAGCTCGGCCTTTATCGGACACAACAAGCTTGGTTTTCAGAAATTTGCATTCAGCTATGATTGAATCCACTGCATCGACAGACTGTTCGGCCACAACAATGCCTTTGGCTTTGGAAGCTTTAATTCTATAGGAAATGTCTTTAGCTGTTAACTGAGGCGTTCCAGGAATAAAAATAATCCCTAGGAAAGAAGAAGGGAAGAAAGTGATCAGAGAAACCATTATGAAAGGTCCATTTCATAGATAAAGTGAAGTTAGTGTAGGGTTCCTCTATCTGGTGCCAGCTCCTTTTGATGGGTTTTCCAACATGGCCACATTGACCAAAGAGGATGAGAGTTTGGTCTAATGTATCTAGGTGACTGGGCCTTTCATGGGTTGGGAAATGGTGATACAGAAAAACATAGTTGCAAATCCCTCATTGCTAAGTTTATGAATTTGAGCTTGCCAGTGTTGCTCATCCTATCCTACCCTACAGAATACATGGGAGGTAGATAGAATATTCATCGACATTTTTAGGAAGAGTGTCCCCTGGGATACTTCCTGGGAATGTCCACCAGCACTCTTAGGAAGACAACCCTTAGCTAAGGGTTGTCTTCTCTATAACATTTACTAACCTGTTCGCATACAAGCCAGTACGAGCAGCCACCACTCTGGAATGCGGGGCAGAACGATCAGAACTTTGTCCCTTCTTTGCAAGCCACACGGACCAGAGAGAACATTGGCAGCTTTTCGGGACAAGAAAGCTAGCTCCTCAAAGCTCCACTTCACCTCTTTGTTCTGACTGTTGACCCACCAGAAGGCTGGGTGGTGAGCTCTCTTTCCATCCTAGTGGGAAACCCAAGAAGTTACAATTCAAGGAGGGATAGCTGAAAACCTGTCCTAATCCAAACAAGATCTCATGGTCAACTGCTAAAGAAAACAAAAAACACACCAGGAAGTAAAGAAACTGGCACATCCCCCCCTCTGTGATTCCCCCCACCCACCCAGAGCAGGGGGCCCCAACCTTGGCAACTGTAAGACTTGTGGACTTCAACTTCCAGAATTCTTCAGCCAGCAAAGTTGTGGTCCTTTCCCTCCCAAGAGGAGCCCAAAATGTTACCTTTTCCTCTTGCATCCATTTGTCCACCACATCACTTGCAAAGTTGAAGTACTCGGGCACTTCCTGGTCACCCCGATTCACCGCTTCGTAATAGGAGGGGATCAAAGAAGCCAGACATCTCTTTGCTTGGTGAAAGAACACCCAAGGCGTCCGAGGATGCCCAAAGCACCTAGCTAGGAGTTTCATGGCCCCAGTTTGAGGTCAGCGCTCAATGGCTTGGATTCCTGCAAAAAGAGGGGATGGGGAGGGAAGGGGGAGGAAGGAAAAGGAAAGGAGAGAATGCAGGAGGATGGGAAGGGAAGGAAAAGGGGGAGGAAAAAAGTCCATCTGAGGTTGCTACGATACCAAGATATTCTGTCTCACCTGTGACCATGAGGTGAGAGTCCAAGTTTTTAAAGGAATACAAATAAACAGACAGGACCAGGAACAACAGAGTTAAATTCCTTTGACTGGAGGAATCCTTGGCAGTCTTCCAAAAGCTGCCTGCCAAGTCTGATAACAAACAAGATCATAAATCGAGAAGCAAATGCCACATGGAGAATTTGTCCAAGCTGCTATCAGGAATAAACAAATTGTCCTGAACGGGGATTGAGAGCTAACACGCCCTCTTTTATGTCCTGAGGGGCGTGTCCATCTCTCAAATCAGTTCCTGATTTGACATTTCCTCTTACGTTGAATTTCACGCTTCTGCCTGCGTCTTTGCCTTGCATCCAACCAGCATTCCTTGGCTTGATCCTCAGCCAAGGACTCTGGCATGCTCTCCTGATTATCTGCCGACACCTGAGGCACAACCAGGGAGGAAGGTCCCGGGGAGGGAGATGATTCCGAAACTTTCAGTGAGGCAGGCTCAAAACTCAAGGCCAAATCCTCCTCTTCCTCATTACTCGAGTCTGTGTCTTCTAACAGAGCAGGCTCAACCCTCCGAGTCACAACACCAAGATGCAGCAAAACGGACCTCTCCGTTCCTGCTCTGCCTTCTCCCTGTTTGTAGACTCCAATAGGAGCCTAAACCGCCCTGAAGGGGAGGCAGAGCTAAGGAAGGGCGCTCTGTGAGGCCACAGGGGAGATTGCAAACTTCTATTGAGTCCGAGCTTTTCCCTCTACGCCAAGACAAAGAGAAGAGTTGCCCAAGATGACTGCCATGAAGTTGGGACAGCCTTGGAACATCTAAGAATAGCACTGGAGCAAAGTTGGTGAACAGAGACTGTGTCACTGGGTGAGATAATTCTTATTTTAGAAGTTACCCTGAGGGAGAGGAAAGGGGGGAAATCCTAGAAGAGACTCTAAAAATAACTCCATAAACTGCGAAAAAGAATTTTAAAGAGCCTTAAGCTGAAAACTAAGTTGAGATCACCATCTACTGACCAAAGGAAAAGTGACTCCTAGACTCCTGAAAATTTAACATGGGGAATACTCGACTAAAAGGCTGAAACTACAGATTTAAAGAACGTGGGAAATATTTGGGATTATTATGTATTGAGTAAACACTGGAATTGGCCTATTTGGATAAGTGACTTGGTTTAGGAAGAAACGGAGACTGAGTGAAATAAAGATCTGTTGGAAAGAAGGCAGTGTGGGCAGCTAAAAGAGATCTTCATTTATTAAACTGCACCTTTAGGACTTTGGGCTTAGAATAGAATAACAGAGTTGGAAGGCACCTTGGAGGTCTTCTAGTCCAACCCCCTGCCTAGGCAGGGAACCCTACATCACTTTAGACAAATGGTTATCCAGCATCTTTTTAAAAACTTCCAGTGTTGGAGCATTTACAACTTCTGGAGGCAAGTTGTTCCACTGATTGATTGTTCTAACTGTCAAACAGCACTTGAACTGGTTGAAACAACATAATGATTGGAGAAAACGGAAAATAAAGATCAGCAAATCTGATATTAATACAGTTGAGAAAGTCCAGAAATATTTCACAAGAAGAGTTCTCCATTCCTCTAGTTGTTGCAGAATACTTTATGCCACCAGACTTGAAATTCTAGACCTAGAAAACCTAGAACTACGCCGCCTTCGGTCTGATCTAAGTATGGTATATAAAATCATACATTGCAATGTCTTACCTGTCAATTAATACTTCAGCTTCAACCATAACAACACAAGAGCACACAATAGATACAAACTCAAGGTTAATCGCACCAAACTCGATTGCAGGAAATACAACTTCAGCAACAGAGTGGTCAATGTCTGGAATACTCTATCTGACTCTGTGGTTTCTTCCCCAAACCCCAAAAACTTTAACCTCAGACTGTCTACTATTGACTTCACCCCCTTCCTAAGAGGCCTGTAGGGGGTGTGCATAAGCGCACCAACGTGCCTACGGTCCCTGTCCTATTGTTTCTTTTTATTTTTCTTATATGTATCTATTTCATGTATTCATAACTATGTTTATACTTATACCTGTTGTCTTATAATAGCTTGACAAAATAAAAAAAATAAAAAGTTAGCCTGCTTCAAATTCAGTGTAATGGTTCAAAAATCAAGCTGTTTCCCTGAAGATAACACTAGATGGCACTTTGCCATACAGGACAGTTCTAAACTCTGGCGGGAACAATTTTTTCCTCTCCTTTTATCTGAATTTCCTTCTATTTGTCCCTTCTAGATTAGAAAAACCAACTGTCCCTTCGAGGATCCGGGAGAACAAAGGGACAAGGAGTCTCTGGATGAAGGATGAAGTGCAAGAACTGCTACGCAGCGTTAGGCACCGTCCATATCAAAGAAAATTTCAATTTTGTTCCCGTCTCCAGGTTGGGTTTAAAAAAAAAACAGCCCCACCTGAAATACTGCAGAGATGCTTCCTATTTTCCTAGAAAAGACCCTCACTCATTTTCTTCCTGGGAAGGACCCATTTTAGCATGCATTCCTTTGCTTATTTAATCTCCTGTTGCTACATCCCTTTGCATTTTTTCTGTAATTCCAGAAAGTTTCAATTCCATGCAAGGTAGTGTGTGAACAAGAAATTCAGATGCACCTTTATTCTGGAAATATTTTTAAATGTGCATGAAAAGATTATTTCGTCCCGGAAGAACCATGAATTGGTGCACGCTTCCTCTCCGGTCAGTGTCCTTCCTGGCAAAAAAAATATATATCTTTTGATAAGATTTTGGAAGTGGTTTGCCCTTGGGATCCAACCGATGTAACAATCAGTTTGGTCAGCGTGCACTTCGCACACATAGGTGCCAGTAGTGCATTTCAAAATAATTTACCACCGGTTCAGTGAGCGTGACTTGGTGGCTGCGTGGGTTGCCGACTCCTGCCCTAAACCATGAAGTAAGAATACATGCCATCCTTGACTTACAACCTTTCATTTAGTGACTGCTCAAAGTTACAATGGCCCCGAAAAAAGTGACTTTAGGGCCGTATTTCACACGGCTGTTGCAACGTCCCTGCGCTCACCTGATCAAAATTCAGACACTTGACAACTGGCATGTACTTATGACAGTTGCAGTGTGTCCTGGGTTCTCAAGGACCCCCTTTTGGGGACCTTCTGACAAACGAAGTCAGAAGCCAGATTCATTTAACAACTGGGTTACTCACTTAATAAACTGCAGTGATTCACTTAAACACTGTGGCAAAAGACACTGTAAAGTGGGGCTGTCTTACGTTTGGGGCTTCATTGTGGTCCTAATTCGAGGACTGCTTGTACTGAGTTGCATAAACAGAACTGGCTTCTGACAAAGGAGTAGTCCGTGTTCTTGTGGGTGGATTGCGTTTCTCTGTTGTTCGTCTTATTTGCCTAAATAGCCCACCAGAATGTAGGAAGTTATAATGCTGGATGTGTTCATTTACCAAAGGATTGCTGAATTTACGAAGCCAGGGATTTCTGTTGCTGGAAAAAAGGACCTTCCCACTAGAAGAGCAACCAGGAAGATTAGGGGACTGGAGACTAAAACCTATGAAGAACAGTTGCAGGAACTGGGCCTGGCTAGTCTAGGGAAGAGAAGGACCAGGGGAGACACGATAGCAGTCTCTGAATATTTGAGGGGCTGCCACAGAGAGGAGGAAGGAATCAAGTTATTTTCTAAAGCACTGGAAGGCCAGACAAGGAAAAATGGATGGAAACTGAACAAGGAGAGAGATTCAACCTGGAAATAAGGAGAAACTTTCTGACAGGGAGAACAATCAACCCATGAAACAGCTTCCCTTTGGCGTTGTGGGAGTGTCATCACTTGAGACTTTCCAGGAAAGAATGGACTGCCATCTGTCAGAAATAGTGTAGGTGGGAGGGTTGGACTAGATGACCTATAAGGTCCCTTCCCACTCTGATTATCTGTTAACTAGTGAGTGTAGCTGTTAGCTGATCTTAAGATATGGAGACACCAGGAACTGAAATTGGGGGCCTTTCCATTTGAAGAACACAAATTACCTCTGACCTCTCGTCCCTTTTCTTTAAAGGACGTCTGAGAAGAATTGGAAAAAAAAAATCCAGATAGTATCTTACTCCGTTTATGCCTGCACGTCTGTGATTTGAGGGCAAGGAAGAAGTCAGCATGATCTCTGGGCTTGTTTTGAAGAAACAACCTCCACTCCTTTAACCTCACACTATCCACTATTGACCTCACCCCATTCCTAAGAGGTCTGTAAGGGGCATGTATAAGTGCACCATCGTGCCTACCGTCCCTGTCCTATTGTCCCCATTTATTCATACCTATTTCCTGTATTCTTACTCAGGTTTATACTTATGCCTATTATCTTGTAAGCAATTGGCAAATCAAATCAAATCAATCAATCAATCAATCAATAAATATCCTGGATGTACCGCAAATGTAGAATGCTCTCTTGAACTTACTGATTTCCAGGCTTCTAGAAGTGGAAGGGAAGACGTAGTGAGGTTGACTTCTCACGGTAGCTGCCCAAAGGCATCCAATTCTGCTCTGTTCATCCTGACCTGTTGTCTCAGGGATGGAATTTTTTGAAGGGAAAAAAATAGGAAAGACCAAGCTGTCCATCAGTGAATGGGGCAAGAGTGACGGGGCAAAGTCCTGTTTGGCTTTCAGAGCCGAACAGGACTTTGACCTTTTTCAATGACCGAGATGCAAATGACCATCTCATCTGATGAGGACACTGCTCACAGTGGAATAAGAGGAAGAGGGGGAAGAGATGAGGAAGGGGAAATGGAGAAAGGGGAGGAAAAGGAGGAGGAGGAGGAGGAGTCATGCTAAGGTGACACATTGGGCAACCTTCACCCCCAAAACGTCATGTCACTTTCAAGCTTTTCTTTTCCACTCTCCAGAAACTTCCATAATTACACTGCTAAAAATAAGCTGGTTCCCCCCTGCCCTTATCTGAATGATATAGCATACGGAGGAAATCCGTTTAGCAGTCAAACCCGCAAGGAGCTCAACCAGAAACTTGCCATTCTCAACGGCTCACTTTTAACACCACGGGTCGTCTTCTCCAATTCTCTCCAGTAGACTAGCTTCCTTTTCATTTTATTTTACCAATCTAAATATTTTCTTAGAGAACACCCCCCCATTGACATCTCGTTTAATCCCAGAATATTTCACTTTGCTGACTCCCAAAGTTGGTGAAAAAAAACCCAAACACCTTCAATTGGGCAAAGTCTTCATTTGCCGTAGGAATGAAAACTGAATTTTTTCCCCCTCTGTGGAGAAGAATTCTTCAGAGGAGATAATAATTACATCTGAAAAGGAGATTTGGAATATTATTTTTAAGCAGTTGGTGGTTGAGCTTGTCTAAAGGATGATTGATGGCTAGCTCCCAATAATTAGGATGAAATTCAACATTTCATGGATGTGGCACTGATCAGCACGAGAAGATTAAAAATCTCCCACCCTATTTATCAATGTTTTCTCAGAAAAATCTTAGTGCGGGTGGGGAACAACGGTGTCCCCATTTAACAGTGAAGAAGAGTTCTGACCAAAGCTTCCTGAGACAGTAACAATCACATACTGTTCCCAAAAACCTTTTTTTAATTATTTCAATGGCTGTGAATTATATGCATTCACAGCCCGTAATGAGTCCCAAACAGGTTATGAATAGCGCAACTGGAGTCTGCCAAAGTCCTTCGGGATAAGGCTGATAAGCACTCACCTTTATCTCCCTTGAAATGCTGCCAATGACTAAATTGCCAATTAGCTGTACAAGGCACAAAGTCAATACGGAGCTTCAGAGTTTACACTGATCAGAATGAACAAAGTTGCTTCCTGCAAAGGCTCCTGTCCCTTTGCTCCTCCTTTATGTCTTATGGGAGTGGCCAATCATCTCCAAGCCTTACTTCCACATCTCCCCTTTTGTCTTAACTGTTCTTGCCTTCTGGCAGCTCTGCACAACCACGCACTGGGAACAGGCTCCCCCTGTTCCTCTGCCTCGCTGATGTCAGATTCCAGAGGCTGGATTCTGGATTCTGGATCATTGACCTTCAGTCGTTCCAAGGCAGGTAAAATGAGGATCCAGATTGTTGGGGGCAAAGGGGGTGACTCTATAAAGCACTTAGAGAGGGCTGTAAAAGCACTATAAAGCGGTATATAAGTCTAAGTGCTATTGCTATTGCTACAATGCAGAGGTGGTATTCAGCAGGTTCTGCCCAGTTCTGGAGAACTGGTAGCAGAAATTTTGAGTAGTTCGGAGAACCGATAGTGGAAATTTTGAATAGTTCAGAATAACCCCTCTGATTAGCCCCACCCTCATCTATTCTCTGCCTTCCGAGTCCCAGCTGATTGGCTGGGTCTTCTTTTGTTGCCCTGCACAGGAGAACAGAGCTGTTAGTGGTGGGGAGGGAATGGGATTTTACAGTATCCTTCCCCTGCCATGCCCACCAAGCCACACCCTCCAAGCCAAGCCACACCCACCAAGCCACGCCCACAGAACTGGTAGCAAAAAAAATTGAATCCCACCATTGCTACAAATTCTCGCTTAGCTACAGAAAGTTTGAGTCCAATTGTGGTTGTATGTTGAGGGCTAGGTTGCAGACTTTAAGAAAGGAGATTCACAAAATACGGATAGCGGTGGAGAAAAGAGACCCCTGCCTACCACTCGGAAAAACCAAGCAACCCGAAGGGAGAACATCATCTCTGGAGCCAAATAATTCCATTCAGTGTTACATTTCCCATCATCGAGATGCTTCTCGGGTTTATATCTCCCTCCCTGTTCCCCATACGTGCACATTATGTTCAGAGACGTCTCCCTTAATTTAATCTCCTTAAGCAAGCCCTCTGGGTGTACATATGGATGTACGTACCTAAATGCTATAAAGTTAGCCATTATCTCTTGAATTTAGGTGGGTAGGAAAAAAAAAAGCACAGCTGACCCAATTCTGTGCTCTTTCTCTTTGGATGGAAGGCTTTTGTTCTTATTGATCGCTTTTGGTATATTTTAAGTTTCTAGGCAGCTTAATTGGGACGGCAACTAAGGCTGGGCTTTGAGGTTCTTTTAGCTTTCCGAAGGTCTCGTTCGTGATACAAGCAAGTCTCCGATGTATAACAGCTCGTATAGTGACTCTTCAAAGTTACGGTCAGGTTTCCAAGCGATGAAATACATTTAAAAAGAAAAGAACAAAGTCCAGCTTCCAAAACAAATTCTTTTATTTAGGAAAGGATCAAATTGGCAAAGTCCGTGGTAATTCCAGATCTGACACAACCCGGAATTATTCCACAATATTAAAAGTTTGAAAGAACCCCACCCCCCAAAAAATCACATTCTCCAATAGAAGTAATTCAATGTTGTTCAATGTCATAAATCTGCACCTCAAGGGGCCCAAGCATGGACAGCTTGTTTCCCACGGGAAGAAGAACCACCTAGCCAAAACAACTCTCTTTATCTTCACTCCTCCCCGCTTAGGAATGTGGCGAGCCTGAAACCCTTCCCCCATGACTGCCACAGAGAAAGTAAGAAAAAAAAAATATACTAAGCCTAACTAAAATGGCTGCGCATATGTCAATTTCAGGCTTGACAGTTACAATGGCATTGAAAAAGTTGACATACAACTCAGAGGTGGTATTCAGCCGGTTCGGACCAGTTTTGGAGAACCGCTAGCGGAAATTTTGAGTAGTTTGGAGAACCGGCAAACACCACCTCTGACTGGCCCTGTCCACATCTCTTCTCTGCCTCCCATTGAGTCCCAGCTGATTGTCTGGGTCTTCTTTGGTTGCCCTGCACAGGAGAACGGAGCTGGAAGATATTATACTTCTGAGTCACATTATGATTCAATTATGCAGCTGCTTGGACAGATGGATCTTCCAAATGAATTTCTCTTGAGGGACCCACCAAAGGTCCCTGCAAAGATCACGAATGTTGGCCTCAAATTATATTATCACTTGGATTCAAATTCAAACTTAAGTTCTCTGGCCATTCCTACCTGTCATTTTTAGATTATTTCTGTTCCCCCTTTTATTGTAGGGAAGTACTTGAAGGACGCTGCAGATGCCTCTATGTTCACGGTTGATTCTCCATATAATTGTTTAACAGAACACCATATTCACTCCCTTTATTGAAGAGATAACACCTGTAAGCTGAAGAAGAGTTTAGTAAAACAAGGCAGAAAATCTAATTTATGTGGAATAAGATGTGCTGTGAATTTATGATTGAACATAAATACTTATTACAGGGGGGTAACTAGATTTCTGACCTTATCTGCAATTCTTACCATTATAAATGGAATTACTATCATCAATTTTTCTTGCTCAACAATTTCCAAAGTATGTATGTATATATATATGTATGTATGTATGTATATGTGTATGTGTATGTATATATGTATTTGTGTATAGATAGATAGATAGATAGATAGATAGATAGATAGATAGATAGATA